TCCCAGAGATTCCAAACTAAAATAATCTTTGATCAACTTATCCATGTCTTCCTCCTTCTTCGTGGAAATGTGGTTAACAATCTTGATTGGTTTAATGCCACCCGATATGTGACCATGTAAAACCCATCCAAGTTTGGTGAGCGATGCTACAGGTAGGTTCTTACCTCCTGAAATTAATTCACGAGTAACTATGAGATGCCAATTGTCCTGGCCAATTAATATGGTAGGTCTGGACCTCTCATAAATCAACTCGTCCTTAATCGGGGTCAAATGAGAACACCGTTGCAATAATTCTCGGCTCACTGACTGCGGAGAAAGGTTAAGTGACTTAATTGTTTGTACACTTATCTCTTCTAAGTCGTTCGAGTAAATGCCTTTTATCTTAACGTTTAAGCGATACGAACTGTCGTCGTTAATTCGCTTACCTCCCACGGCTTCAATACGTAATTCTTCTTTACGTCCGCGAGGCGCTAACTTCTGAGCCATCCACTCCTCTATGAGTGTCATGGTTGATCCTTCATCCAGAAGAGCTGTGGTCTTGACCTTTCCTTTAGGTCCATACAACTCGACCGGTATAATCTTTAAGTATGCACATGCCAGTGCATTCACTGTACTAACAGTTGTAATTTGAGCCTCTTTACCCCCCTCGTCCCCTTGCGGCGAGGTATTTTCATTGGGGTATCGGTGTAGCATTCGATGATGTGACATTCTACATCCCTTTACACCACATTTTTTCCCTTTGCACTCTAACCTCATATGGTTAGGTGACAAACATTGAAAACATACTTTCGCTTTTTTTAACCGCTTCCCATTTCTCGCGATTATTCATGTCCTTAAACTTGTAACAACTCACTATAGAGTGCTCCTTGTTACATATAACACACTTATGTGTTACCCGACTTACAGGCTTATCCTGGGTTATCATAACCACTTGTCGGTTGTGCCCTTTATTATTTCGGCGTTCTAGACGCTCGCTCGTATTACTTCGGCGCTCATAGCGCTCGCTCTTGAAACGGTTGCGTACAGACCCCTTTGCGGTGTGTACAGTTTGCTTCCTGAATTCAGGACGCTTCCGTTTTTCAGGCACATTTTCATTGCTTAAGGACGTTCCAAATTGTTCACTCAATAAATTTAAAAACTTGGCCATCTTCTGTAACTCTGGCTCCAAAGGATGCTGAGCTCGATATTCAAACCATTTAAATTTAATCATAGTTCCAAGTTTCTCTACTATGCGGTTTACTAACTCCGGTGAGTATAAATACTGTGGTTGATTCAATGCTTGTATTGTGGCAACCACGTTCGTAATACGACTTGCAAAAGATCCTATATTCCGGCAATCTTCTGCCAATCTTGGCATACGTCTTACATTCTCGATTTCGGCTAAAATGAGCATCTCAACCCTACCGAATCTTCTTTCGAGAGCGTTCATTATTTCTTCAGGTTCACACAAAGTAAACAACAACGACTTAACCGCTTCCTTAGCGGTGCCCTTTAATGCCCTCCTAAGGCGTGCGACATTCTGCACCCCTGAAAATTGGCTTCTCGTGTCTTCAAACACCGTTTTGAAAACTATCCATTCACCCGGGTCTCCATCGAACACCGGTAATTCCTGGAGGAAATGAAGCTGGGAAGACTTATCTTTACCCGCTATCTTTATTGCACTCACAATCGCTTCGGTCAATTCTGACACCTCACTCGCGTGTGTTTTCTGTGCATTTCCTTGGTTGCGCTCGATCTCCGCCCCTTTGCGGCGTGATCCTTTACACGCTTCCTTATCAGTAATATCGGGTTGCGTTACACTAACCGGCGCGCTCATTATGGTCTGTTGAACCCAACTCCTTACGAAAGGTTCCACCTGAGTATTCCGCTCTTCATCATCCTCACTCGAGTCGATCTCCTCTTCTCGGTTGAGACGTGCCAACTCCAATTGAGACTTGGCTAAGGCAGCAGCTGCCTGTGCTCGTTCGAGCTCTGAGCGTTCGAATTTAATCCGCGCCTCTAATTCGGCTTTCAGCCTCGCCGATCGCGATGACCTACTACCTCTCTGTGACCCTTTGTCACTAGTGTGCCCGATTACTGTCCTTGACGATGCCGCTTCTTCGGTCCTTTGACCTACTTTTTCGACTACCGTTTCACTCCTGGATATAACGGATTGTTGTGCGGTGCTGGCCTGCGTACCACTGGTGTCCGTCCTGTTGCTTGTCGTTGCCATGGACGCCCCTGAGTCCCACGTGCATGTGGACGTATCGGTGGTGGCTCCACTTGAAGGAGTTGTTCCACTCGAAGCAGTAGCTGTGGTCGCTCCAGATGGTTCCGCCTCTTTAGCTTTTCTTGAGGGCCCTGTCCTTGTCTTGGTTCCTTCGCTTCTCCCTGTCTGGTCTTGTGCCTTCTTCATCTTGCAGGAAGGTGATTGTTGGCCTACGGTCCCTAACTGTCCCTACGGTCCCTACAACCCCCTTCTACACCCCAACCTAACCCCACTACCCCTCCCCCCTTTATCTCCCAACCCTACAACCTTACTACCACCCTAACAGCCCTATCAGCCCTATCAATCCTGAACGGGGCCTACCGAGGTGAGCCGTCCAGGGATGGAGTCGTGCAGGAATGGAATGGAGGAAAGGTTTAGGAACTGTCCCGCCAAGGAATATGACGAAACAGTCGAGCGGTAGTGCAAGCGCAGTCTCGCTCGAGAGAACTGCTCCACCCGAAGGTGTTGTGCCAGAGCCCGACCGTTTGGCACCGTTAGGTGGTCGGGATGTATGCTGCGCTTCGTCGCCCAGTCGCCGGTGACGCCTCGTCCAGGCGCCCTCTCCCGGCCGCGATGCAGTCAGGTGCCCACGAGCACCCTCGCCTGGCAGCAGCAGCGGTGGATGCTTCTTCTTCTTGCACCCTCTGATGACCCGACAGGAAATGCCGGACACGATCGTCCGACAGGAAAATGCCGAGCACGCTTGCCCGACAGGAAAAATGCCAAGCCCTGCTTGGCCACGATGAGCGCCTTCACAAGGCACCTGCGCCTGGCTGCGATACGTGCCCCATGCGAGCACACGCCCCAAGCCGCAATCCCGATTTTCTTTCTTCTGGTAGTTCCAGGTCCGGTCCTACTGCGCTGACCTGGTCTTCTGGCCTTTGGTCCCGTTGCTTCAGCTCAAACCTCCGGCTTCCTTCGGTTGCTGATCTTCACTCGGCTCCGAAGGTCTTCTTTTTCCATAACCAGCAGTCCACAGCTGGTTCCTTGATCCTGCTCGAAGGACCACTTGAAAAGGAACCAGACAAACGTTAAACTAAGAAACAGAAGGGGGGAATCGAGGCTTCTCTCGATCCGGCCTCCTATAACGCCTACGTTGGGTTCGGGAACAACGTATGTGATCTCCGCAACGGAGTAACACACAAGGGCGATAACCTCTTCCTTTTCAGAAAATAGGTTCAGGCGGGGATTACGGGTCTTCCGAAGTCGTCCCGGTCCCAACGCCTTAATTCTTCGATATGGACTGTATCACTTTAAGGGGAGAATTCCTTGGGAATAAAACAGCAATTATCTTCAAACCGTTCCGTGAGAGAGTAATTACTTTTCCCTATCACTTCCCTATACTTTTTCTTTCTTCTTCTTATTGACTGCTGGTCTTGCACTTTTCCCGAACGATTTGCAAGAAAAATCAATTTACTGAACTACCTCGAAGCTAAACGCGAAAGTGAGCCGCGCCATTTGTGCGCTTGCGCAACTCAATTACATCAATTTGTACTATCACTCTCTCACGGTTTGCTCAATAACTTTATTTGTATAAGACATACATTTATACAATTTACTTATAAAGATAGCACAAAAAATATCTATACTACGATATACATTACATTTTCATATCACATTTATTTATTTAACAAAATATGCTTATTTTACTCACATGTTCAAAGTTGGAATTTCTTAAATATTTAACATAGAAAGTTAAAACAATGTTTTCCACTTGAAATTATACATATCTTAACTAATACAATAGTTTAATTTACATTTTCTCTATACATTTCACTATTAAAACACTTTTAAATTTCTTATACAAAACTATCATTATTTCACTTATTCACAGGAATTTTCACATAAAATAACACAGAATTCACCTCTTTTACACGTACAATCAATCTGAAATGTTTTACAAGTCATTTTACATAAATTGCTGAAATTTGCAAATATTTAAATTTCTACATATTTGGCCTCCTAAGTACGTGGCTAGCGTGCGTCTATGAACTCACACTATTTGAACAACTAACTTTTGCACGGCTATCGACTATCAGTAAAAATGGAAAGTTTAGTATACACTAATATCAACAATACTAGGTGAATAAATGATTCTACACAATTCTCAAACGCCGAAAACTATTTCTAATCAGATTCTTATCAGTTATCATGTTTCTTATCAAACGATATAAGTGAATGTTTTCATAAATCAATCATAGAAAATAGGCATTTGTTTTCATACAAAACATATCAAACTCATATAAGACAATACTTATGCAATTAATTTCCATTAATTCTACTTATGCACAGCGATCATCTCGACCGGGGAACAAATCCTGGTCTCTAACTTTATTTTAATATTTCTTTAAATTAACATTATTGGAAAGATGATTTCAACCGGGGAACAAATCCGGTAACATAATTTATATCTTAAAAATTCCCTATATGAATTTATTAAGAGATATTACTAAGAAAACGATAAACTATTCCGGCCTGGGAGTCGAACCCAAGACCTTCATATCATTAATTCGATATTTCTTTAAGATTCAACTAAGCATTTTCTTATCGGAATATTGTTGCTTGATAATTTGCTTTTTAGAAGCTATTCGTAATCGGTTAACTAATAAATTGAAATATTCTTATAGGCGCGTCGCCAACACTATGCATTTACCAGAGAATGTCACTGTTTAGGTTCTGATCACAAATTTCTTATTTTTTCAGATGTCATCCTTGAATCAGAAGCAAATAGAACAATATTTAGCTCAAACTAATGACGGAGGAACATGAGAATTTTTATGAAAACCGAGAAGATATACTTCGTGATCATAAGAATCCTATTGAGGAGGAAAATGATGAAGATGATGATGATCCTATCTTGGCAGAAGACCCACCATTGACAAATGAAAACCCTGCAAATGATCAAGTGCCTCAGGTTCCATTTCCATCAACAAGTCAAGACAGTCGCCGAGCTACCATAAAAGGACTTGTTTGGAAGGTGAAAAAGTTTGTTTTGAATTCTGACCAGACTACTTTTCTTGGCAACACCACATAACTACCAGAACTGAGGGATCAAACTACTACTGGTACTCCATATAGTATTTTTTCGTATTTTATTACATCTGGAATAATTCAGAAAATAATCGATGAGTCTAATCTATACTCTGTCCAAAAAAATGTAACAAAACCATTGAATATATCTGAAACTGAACTAAAAAAATTCATGGCAATATTGTTACACATGTCTGTCATAAAATATCACAATGTTAGGCTTTACTGGTCTAACACTGTAGGTTTTGAACCAATCAAAAAAATTATGACAGTCAACAGATTTGAGACTATTAGAAGATATCTTCATTTCAACAACAATGAAACACATTTACCCAGGGAACACCCACAACATTATCGGCTCCATAAGATTAGCACTATACTAACCATCTAAATGAGAAATTTGCAACAGTTTCTATGGAACAAAGATTATCTATTGATGAACAGATGTGTGCTACAAAAGTAGCACACTTCATGAAACAATATCTACCCAATAAACCACATAAATGGGGGTTTAAATTGTATGTAATATGCAGTGTAAAAGGCTATGCTCATGATCTACACTGGTCAAGAGAATGAACGGACACTGGTCAAGAGAATGAACGGTTTCAAGATGAACCAGATTTTGGACCAGTGGGTAATGTTGTTATCCAGCTAGCCAGAGGTGTCCCAAGGCATATCAACCACATAATATATTTTGATAATTTTTATACCTCTGTTCCACTAGTTACCCATCTTGCTAAAGAAGGGATCTATGGCCTGGGTACTGTACAATCTAACAGACTTGTAAACTGCAAACTACCTGACAAAAAATCACTAATGAAGAAATCTGTTCCCCGGGGTAGTTACGAAGAGCAAATGACTAGCTTTGAAGGTGTTAATTTGACAGCTGTAAGTTGGAAGGACAATAAACCAGTCACTTTCCTATCTTCATATGTTGGTGCAGAACCTATTTCTCTATTATAAAGATTTGACAAAGTTAATAAGATCTGGATCAAGATTACATGCCCACGTGTAATAAAAGAGTATAATGCCCATATGGGCGGGGTGGATCTTCACGATAGCTTCATTGGTAGGTATTGTATATAAATGAGAAGCCGTAAGTGGTTCCTACGTATATTTTACCATCTGTTGGATATGACAGTAATAAATTCCTGGCTTGTTTATAAAGACTTGAAAGGTACTGAAGCAACTTCATCAGTTCTGAATTTGTGTTATTATATAGACTGGAACTAGCTGACGTTCTAGCTAATATAAATAATGCATCTGAAGTCTGTAACAAACGAGGAAGGCCCAGCACCAGTAACAGCGTTGAAATGGCAATACAAGCCAAGAAAAGTAGAGGACCAGTTCAGCATGTTCCACCTATAGATATCAGGACAGATAATGTTGGTCACTGGCCTGATGCTTGCGCCCGCAGTAGATGCAAAATGCCTGGGTGCAAGGGATTGTAGGTCCCTTGCACCCAGGCATTTTGCATCTACTACATAAACAATGTGTGAAAAGTGTGGAGTAGCCTTACTAAATCTAGGAATTGATTTGAAAACTTTCATATGTAATTATTTCTAGTAAATGCATAGTGTTGTATTTATGCAATAGTTGTTTTTTTTTTAAATAAAAACCTATAAAAAATGATTTTATTATTATTATTATTTTTCCCTGCCTAAGCATGTAAATGTCCACTACATGTATTTTTCCTACGTAATAAGAACAAATCATGCACTTAAGGGTTAAGCGATCGGACTTTATCTACAGAGAACGCTACGTGCCATAGAAACCTTTTCTGAACCCTTTCCAAGCGTAACGTATGTGTTGCGAAATAGGGCCTCCAAACAACACTACAGTATTCCATAATGCTACGCACAAATTTGTTATAAAGAATCATCTTGGTCTTAACGGTCTTGAAAATCTTTGTATTGCGTATAATGAAACTGAGCATTCCGGAAGCTTTTTTTATAATATGGTTCAAATGTGTTATAAATGTAAGCTTGTTATCTAACAGCATGCCCAAATCACGAACACTGTCAACTTCTCGTAATTTGATACCATTGATTTGGTATGACGAATTAGTAATATTTTGCTTGCGCGTAAATTTTATATGTGTACACTTTTTCGCGTTAAGGACCATATTGTTTTCATGATACCATCTTGTCAACTTATCCAAGTCTGCTTGCAGGAGATACACATCATCCATGGAATCGATTTCACGCAAAAGTTTAAGGTCGCTTAGGGTCGGTTCAAGGTCGTCAGCATATAAAAATGATTTAACATTATTAAGATTAAGAGAGACATCATTGACGAAGATGTAAAACAAAACAGGGCCGAGGTGCGAGCCTTGTGGCACTCCTGATGATATTTTATGGGTTTTAGATGAATAACCATTAACTACAACAAAAAAGATCTGTGAGTTAGGTAGGAACTGAACCATTTCAATAAATAACCATGCACACCAAAGGCTGAAAGCTTATGAAGAAGGAGGCAATGAGATACTTTATCAAACACCTTGCTAAAATCCGTGTAAATAACATCAATCTGTTTGTTCTTGTCCATAGACTTAATCAGTTCTTCGGTGAAGCACACTAAGTTTGTCGAAGTTGATCTACCGCGCGTAAATCCGTGTTGTTGGTCTGTTAAAGTTTTTTTGAAATAATTTTGAATTAGGGGTGTAATCAATGACTCCATGACTTCACCCATTTGAGGTAGGATTGAAATTGGTCGGTAGTTTCCTATTATATTTTCACCGCCAGATTTGTAAACTGGCACAACTTCAGCCATCTTCCAGACTTCGGGGAAAACTCCAGACTTGAGAGAAAAATTAAATATGTAATGTAGTGGAGTGACTAAATTTGATGCACAATTAACCAAAAAAATGGCTGGAATCTCGTCATATCCCGCTCCCTTCGACTTATCCAGCTTGATCAAACTTTGGTAAATCATTTCTTCTGTCAGGTTAATGGAACTAAAAAAATCATTGCAATATGTGATCGGTTCGGTTGTGTTTAATCTCCAACCGAGATTACAATTACACTGTGGATCAAAGTATGGATCCAACTATAGATAATGTTTTGGAATCTTAACTATTCTTTATTTGTTATAACAAAAGACGATCACAGTCTTAAAGGTACCTATAAACAAATTATCAGTCTTATGACAGTTAAAAATCTTACATCATTTAAATCACATACAAAGATTTTCACTTTTTTATTGGTTAAATTTAATCCACTTCCTCTACTGTGGGACCATCGCGCTGGCCGCCAGGCATACCTCCGGGCATACCTCCTGGCATACCACCACCCGCACCGTGCATCTTGCTCATGATGGGCGAGCATACTCGCTGCAACTCCTTCAGCCTGTGCTCGTACTCCTCCTGGTCTGCGAGGTTGTTGTTGTCCAGCCACTTGAGCGCATCGTCCCACTCCCGGCACGCCGTGCTTTTATCAGACTCGCTCAGCTTGTCTCCTGCGTCGTCTAGCGCTCGCTTCACGCTGAACACGTACGCCTCCAACTGGTTGCGGGCGGCGACCCTCTGCCGCTGCTTCTCGTCCTCTTCTTTGTAGCGCTCGGCTTCGGACAACATGCGGTTGATTTCGGTCGGTCGGTTCCCTTGTCATTCTTAATCACGATGTTCTTGCTGCGACCCGTGCTATTTTCTTTGGCCGAGACGTTCAGGATACCGTTAGCGTCCATGTGGAAGGTGACGTCGATCTTGGGGACGCCGCGCGGCGCTGGCGGGATGCCGGTTAAGTCGAACGTGCCCCGCAGGTTGTTGTCCTTGGTCATCGCACGCTCACCTTCATAGACTTGGATAGTAACTGCTGGCTGGTTGTCCGAATATGTGGTGAAGGTTTGAGACTGTTTGCAAGGAATCTTCGAGTTGCGCTCGATAATTTTGGTCATTACGCCTCCGGCTGTCTCTATATCGAGAGACAAAGAAGCTACGTCCACCAGCAATACATCCTGAATCTTTGAATGAGAATCTCCACTGAGAATTGTGGCTTGCAATTCAGTTCAACAGTCACTGTTGACCAGATTGATTAGACTGTTCACTGTAGACAGAGGTAGACAGAATGCAAAAATATCACAAATATGTTGACCATCAGACGTTGTTACAGAACAATCTGTCATCTCGGCCAAATATGAATTCAGACTGCCACGTTTTGATTTGATAAAGGACCAAAAGAATTTGGAATTAATGGCAATATTTTCTTCGGTGCGTTTTATATAGGAATTGTAGGCATCCAACGATAGTTTTTCACATCTTTTTCTACAAATATTCAATTCTATTTTATCTAACGAATTGTTATGTGTTTTTTTTGTATCTGAGCCTTATTTTTTTTTCCATGCAATGCCTTGATCAAACAAGAGCTAAACCATTTCGGAATTTTTTTGTTTCGTTTTTTTATCATTGGAACGTACTCTTTAATAATTTTATTAAGTTTATCGTAGAATATTGTTACTATGTCGTCTAACTTTTCTATTCCGAAAAAAACTTGGGACCAGTCGATTTCCACCAGTTTTCGGTTAATCATTTCATAGTCAGCCCTAAAAAAAATTCGACTAGTGAAGTTATAGTTTTGTGCTAAGTTGTAATATTTTTTTGATTTTAAATGTATTTCTAAGGGAGGATGCAGCACATCGATTGCAGACAAAACATCAGTTGCGCGGTCTACTTGAACTAATAAATGTGATTGCTCCAAAAACACTAGATCCAGGTCTTTACCCTTTTTTTTTTTGGGGGGGGGGGGTGGGTGTTTTTTTTGACAAAAATTTTCCCTTTCCTGACCCAGACGTACTTGAAGCCTTTCTCGTTTGCTTTTTTTCTTGTAGCAGCGTGTAAGGCCTTGTTTGTAGGTAAGAGATGTTCTGAGACAACAATTGGCGTTCTTGCCCCAGGTATTCCGAAATTAGTGCAATTTATTTTGAGGATTGCTCTTGTTGAAAGTTATTGTTGCTGCCAGAATGTGATACCGGGTACGAGTGGAGTCGAGCTGAACGACTATTGAACGAGGTCGAGATGTTCTGTTCAGATATTTTATAATTTGTTATAGAGCCCAACCAGGATACTAATTCAACTAAATTTTAATTTTTCTTTTCCGCCATGCATTGAATCTCAAGATTATTAGATATTGCTGCTTGTTCTATTTGGTTTATACGAAAATTTATATCGTTTATTGTGGTTTGAAGTTTATCGCTCTTTATTTGTAAGTCCTGTATTGATTTTTTGGATGCTTTAAGCTCCTTGTTAATTTCCTCATACTGACTACTCATAAATGACATTGACTCTTTTACGTCTTGTATTTCATCTTTGATTGATTTAAGTTGGGTGTTGAGCAAAGTGCCCATTGAGATGTTAAGTTTAGTCAGTAAATCACTCATTTCCCGCTGTACTACGTCTTCAATTATGTTGCGAAGCGCTGTGTTTGTAGCATCGTCCGCGTTGTTGTCCTGGGCACAGAATAAATAATAGTACTACGTACAGAAGTTTCACTCTTTTGATGTTGACAGCTTGCCGACGTTTAATAGCCTACATAATTATTATTAATAAGATAAATTGCGCACGCAAGCTAAATAAACCTTTATAGCTGTGCGGGAGTGTCCGTATTACTTTGCATCTTTTCCCATTCCCACATCATGGCTGTTTTTCCGAGGTTACTTACGGCTGTCAAGAAAGAGTAAAAATACAGTATGAATAACATTAATAATTTATTTAATTTACAATTGTTTTACTTTAATATAATGTTTTATAATTTTTTTCGTCTCTAAAATACCGGTTATTAAATTCAAGAGTTGAAAAAACTTTAAATCTTGTATATAATTTTAGTAAATAATAAAAAAGGAAAACATGGACATGGAGTATCGGAAGAGTCATCGATTTATTTTTGGTAAAAGATATTCATTCAGTATACTAACTAGAAATAATAAAAATAGTATTATTAATTTTTAATATAAATATTGTTGTATTAATATTTTTATTGTTTTATATTTCTTTATTTTACTTAATATTTTTAATATATCTCCCCCCCCCCCCCGCTCCCTTTGACAGCAAAAGTAAGAAAACATTTCTTTTAAATGTTGTTGTCAAATTGAAAAGGATTTAGCACATTGAAGCCATTAATTTGTTTATTAGCGGTGTGGTGGAATCCGGGAAATCCCGGGTTCGATTTCTGTCAGCGACAATTTAGAAGTTTATAATTTCTTTCAAATTATTTGTTTTTATTTTTATTTATACGGTTTAATATTAAAAACTGCAATGTTAGCCCACTCTGATCTATGATTGCTCCATCATCATTCACCAGCCGCAATCGCAGTGTATACCATAAAGGGGGATGCCCATTTTCGGCCATAGAACGCCCAACAATATGCATTTGTTAAAAAAATATATCTTTATTTATGGTTATTAATCGCAGTATTCATTTATCCTAAAAAGATGGGAATATTTTTGCACAAAAAAGGTACTGAAATAATAAAAATAAAATTAGGTAAATGCGTAATTCATTAGTTTGTTGATAAAATAAAAAAAATGTTGCCAGTCACAAATCCCATTAAAATCGATTCCCTTTTTTAATCGATTATTTATGGTGTCATTATTACAATGCTAATATAACTTTTCGTTAATTATTATGATGTGTATAGGTGTAAAGCAACCGTTGACAACGGATATTTATCCAAAGCAGCCGATACGCAACCGTAGTCAACCAGTTGTTTATCCGACTACAGACGAAAAAGGATGGTTATGTTTTACTGTGTATGCGGGTGGATAAGCTGAATCGTTTTTTGCAATGGTGCTTAAAAACCACTTGAGCGATTTAAAAAATTCTTTCATCATTACAATTCTATTATGACTGTGAAACGTACGATGCATTTTATGATAGAGGACGCTACTTTCAACGAATATATTTATTTAGCTAAACTAAAATACTTTCACTGCTGTAATGTTATGTATAATTATAGATATCTAATGTAGGATGCATTTTATTATAGAGGGCGCTACTTTCTGTGAATATGTGTTTATTAGCTAATCTCGAAAAATACTTGATCGATTTTGAAAATTCTTTGACCATTACATTGCTAATGAGGGAGTTAGTTGTGTGATAAAATTATATTATTAAAATAATTATTTTAATATTAATACTTAATAAATAAAAGAAAACACCAAGTGATCAAATCCTATTATTATTTTTACAATTTAACAATCACACACTTTACCTACTTAGGTTGATTGTTTTAGATGTAGGTAATAAATCTAAAATAAGAGAGATCCACTTAAACGAAAAAATAATTAATAAAATATAACTAAAAGTTGGAAAAAGTGGCACAATGCGAATCGGCCTCGCAAGCCAATGAAGAGTTCCGTAATAGCAAGCATAGATTCCACATCGAATAGAATAGTGTTTGTATAAAGAACAAAATTGTGATTGCGTTTCTTGAAAATAAGCTACTTGTAGCTCAAAAAAAGGACTAATCTACATTATAGGGCTTTCTGTGGTTTATTCATTACGAAAGAGAAAAACTTATTGAATAAAAAAATATTTTTATCAATTTCAAGACAAAAACAACCGTTGTTATCTCCTTGGTTGAAAACGTTAACAACCGCCTTCACATCTGTAGTTATGATAATTAAATAAGCGATTTAATAGCTGATTTACAATGAATTCTATGCAGTATAACACAATGCTACTGCACAATATAACTGTTATTCTTATCTGTTCTTAACAATACATTTAAAATGAAATCATGTTATGATAATTAAACAAGTGAATTTCTAGCTGATGTACCATGAATTTTTTAGAGCATAACAAAACGCTACTGCACAATTAACTTTTCTTAAAAATACACTTAAAATAGAATTTAAATAAATAAAAGAAGATACATTTTAAAAAGCGAGCAGAAGTTAAAACACCTCCAAGATTATTCTCTTTTTATGAAATTATTAATCGAATAATAATCGAATCGCTATGGATATTATGATGTTATGATAATGTTGCGTGAATAAGTCAACGTCATACACCAGCGCCATCTAGTGTCAGGAACGAGAGCGAGGGGAGCTTTGCAGAAAATGACATCACAAATCTTTCAACCGACAGCGCCATCCGAAGAACTAAGTTTCTAGAAAATCTACGCTCGAACACTCGTCGCCTTGCGCGCATTTACTTGAATATTCCGGATGCTTCATTGCTAATTTGTATATATAGGCGCTGCAGGATGCGATCGGGGCAGTATTGGATTTGGCGAGACAAGCGAAGCTTCGGAGCGGAATAAAGTGAATTAGTGTGTTTAATTATTAGTGTTTTAAGTTCTAATTTGTGTAAAGTAAATTAAAGTGTTAATTTAGGTAATTTTATCGGCAATTTTTATTGTCACGAACCTCAAGCTCGTAACAATAATTAAACAAGCGAATTACTAGCTGATTTACTATGAATTCTTTAGAGTATAACAAAATGCTACTGCACAATTTAACTGTTATTGTTATCTGTTTTAACAATACATTTAAAATTTAATCATGTTATGATAATTAAACAAGTGAATTTTAGCTGATTTACCATGAACTGTTTAGAGTATAACAATACCTACTCCACATTTTAACTATTCTTAAAAATACATTTAAAAATAGTTAAAATAAATAAAAGAAAATATATTTTAAAAAGCGTGTAGAACTTAAAGCGCCTCAAATATTATTATTTATTTATTAAATTACTAATCGAACAAAAATCGATATCGTTTTGTTGTATTTATGTAAGTTATGTGGCAACATCGATTCTGACAGCTATAGGAAATATGTCATGCGAAATGAAATCACAATTCAACAAGCAACAAGTAAAAAGGGGTTTTTGGCGGGAACTTGGCCGTAGACGGATTGTCGCTCCTGTTTTGTCGCTTGAATAATGGTTTGAAGTGGA